ATATATATATATATATATATATATATATATATATATATTATATTATATATATAATATATATATATATATATATATATATATATATATATATATATATATATATATATATATATATATATATATATATATATATATATATATATATATATATATATATATATTGCATTTTATTTTTATTATTATCTCATACTAAAAAAATAATTTTTTCCAATATATTTTTATTTTTGTGCATATTAATATATTTTTGTATATAAATAATAGGTAATATTATTTTCTTAAATAAAATTAGAGTTTACCCCTTTAATAAAATAAAATTAATCCTTTTTTATTTATTTCTTTATGTTTCTTTACATTTAAAAATACTTTGCATACATAAAAACTTTTTTTTGCATAAATACATTTTTATTTAACATTTATTTATTGTGTTTATTTAAATATTGTCCATTTAAATATTATGCATTGTAAATTCAATTTGGTTGTAATAATTTAGGATTTTAATTTCTTTCAAAATAATCCCTTATTCAAAATTGTACCCCCCCTCCCTATATCAAAGTTGTAATAGCTTAGATTTATTTTTACGCACTTAAATGCTTTCAATTATACCATGATTAGAGAATTAGGGTTTGTATGCAAAATCAAAACCAACAAATAGTTTGACCTAATCAAAGATAAAAATGCATAAAAAACAAACACAATGCACACTTGCATCCCTAGGGTTACAATCCACTTGTTGCCTTCAAAAATGGGCCATGGTATGCATGTTAAGTACTTTGGCACAACAAAAACAAAAACAAAAGATCATAGTCCCTCGATGACACTATCTGTGTTGCCTAAACAAAACGATCAAGTCCCTTAAAATTGCCAAAAATACTTGACTCCATTGCTATCATGGTCTATACGGTGACCCGCGCCTGTCCCGTTTAACATCCTAACACAAGGTTGTTCATCAAATACAATGGTGAAGCAACACTGTTAAAAGGGTTAAAAACATAAGAAAGATCTTTGAGTAAAATAGGGTAGATAACTCTTAGTTACTTGATCAAAAGCTTGCAAAAACATCCTTGCTATTTTCAAAACACACTTCCGAACATAATTTCAAAACCCTACTTTCAAACATGAAAAACTTTTCAAAAGACAAAAACACCTTTGTATACATTCAAACAAGAATCATTACAAAGGTTGCCACAATGATGGCCTCTTTTCAAAACATCTTTCCAAATCACACACAAAGCACCATTTCAAACAATTGAAGAGCACCATTTCAAACAATTGAAAAGCAAAGCAAGTGATCTAAACAAGTAACTAAGAGCCCATGGATAACCATGGATAGAAATGGTGCTAATACCTTCCCTTTCTATAATCTACTCCCCGAACCCAAAAACATCTCAAAGGTCTTTCCTGTGCTTTTTGACATTTCCTTAGGATAAAATAAAAAGTCGGTGGCGACTCTTGCTAAACCGAAACATTTGCGAACAGAAACACAAAATCCCAATTCAGTTCTCCCACCGCATCACAGAACTAGCGACTCTGTTGGAGACGACTTTAAAAGTGGAGTAACCTTAGGACTTAGATCACCTTTGCATGCTTATCTTGATTGCTTTGTGGTATATCTTTAACATAAGCCGTGAAGCCCGGATTTGACCGGATAACAGCTTAGCAAGCTATTGTGAAGCCTGGACCACGACCAGATAGCAATACAAATTTATGTGAAGCCTGGATTACGACCAGATAGCAGTTAACCCTCAAGAGTGAAGACCCTCATCCTTAAAACCTCAGAAGATTGGTATACTCCCAGTTTCTGATCGTTAACAGAACGAAGATTTCCATCACCTCATCATGAAGCAACCCTACACAGGTTCTTTCTCAAACTCAAAAGATTCTTGGAATCCCCAGCCAGAGAGCCTCACAGAATCTAATTCCCCTCAGAATCAAGTTTCAATATCCCCAGCGGAGCTAAAACTTCCAACTATCAATCCCCAAGCGGAGTGAAGACTCTCATTTTCAGTTCCTCACAGAATATTCGAATATTCTCCAGTGAAGATCCCCTCAAGACAAGAATTCCCCATTAGATTGGCATACAACCCAAGCTCCGGATTCCCCGACAATGGTCCCAGGACTTTTTATGATCAAAGATTCTTGCCCTTCCCAGTAGCAGTCAAGGAATTATTTTCCCCGGCAGCAGTCAAGATTCTTCTGTCTCCAGCTGTTGTACCCCAAAATTTTCCCTCGCATTTTTCCACAAGAGATCGCAGCTTCGGGCATTTCCTGATTTTTCAAACTGACTCAAGAATCGGTCAAACTGACTTTTCTCATCAGACAAACAAAAATTAGGGTTTTACTGATTTTCAGGGCTCTGGAATGTTTCACACAGTTGGCTTAGGGTTTTGGTTGATTTTGGTTCAACTTTGATCAGGCGAATGCTCTTTGGCATTTAATCAGGAATTAGGGTTTGTGCGCGCGTTCTCAAAAAGATCTAAATTCTACAGCACTTTGCAAGTTATTCCGAGATTTGGGTTGGATTCGCATTGTTTGATTTAATCAGTAAAAAGACTGCATTTGGGTTGAATTCACGTTGGTTTGTCTGAGCCAGTCAAAAGATCTATGCAGTTTGGATTTACAGTGTTTGATAAAAAATCAGGGAAAAGGGAATGCGCCTGATTAGTTTGTTTTGGTTAACTGTTGCTTTGCTTTGGATATTGGAAAGGCCAGGTTTAACTGATCAATTATTAAAGCATTGTTTATTTAAATTATTATTCTAAATTAAGTGATTGAAATTTATTTTTCGATTATTTTAATTCAAAGAGTTTTAAATAATAAATAAACAATAAAGAAGGAAATAGAATTGATTGGATAATAAAGACTTTTATTTATTCTTGAATTATTTGTACAATTATTGTTTATAATTTAATTACAAGCAATGATTTTACATTAATTTAAATTTAAATAAAAAAGAAAACTATCATATTTTTTCTAATTCTTCATTCTTCACTTTGCTCCCCTCCATTCAATTATTCATCTGCAAGAGAAAAAGAGAAAAGTCAAAAAGCAGATAAATAAATAATGACAGATAAAAAGAGTTCATCATTAAGGGCCACTGATTGGGATCAGTTAACCCTCTCTACAAATCATGGAATTTCTCCCGGTTCACAAAGAGGGAAGAATTTTATTTGCTAATCATGAATGCAAAGTTGAGAAAAAAATGTAAAGTGTCAAACTGCATAAGTTCAAAATCTCAAACTCCAAGTTCAAACCAAACTGAAAAATCCAAATTCCTACTTTCTGTCAAAAATGCCAAAAGGTACAAGTTGCTGTCACAGGATCCAAGCTGTCAATAAAGAAGATTTGGAAAAGATACAAAGTACAAAAGCTGTCAAAAGAAGAGACAATATGCAGAGGAAATCTATTATGCAAGCAAAACATTTTTTCATCATTTCCCAAGATAAGGGTGGCCCTTTCAGAACAAAGGTACAACAAAAAACATAGTTTAACATATTTAGCTGTACTGAGAGAGAAGAGTAAAGAGATAAGAGAGCAGGTTTTTAGGCTTTAGGCAGAAAGATAGAAACATATACAAAAGACTGAACACAGAAGATATAAAAAAGAGAGAGCAAAAAAAATATAAAAGACATAACCATCAAGCTACTGAAGCATAAGCCTTAAACTTCACAAGCAACAAACCTGTAAACCAGTAACAACCATCACACTGCATAAAACCATTCCTACTGTCTAAACAAAAAACAATAGGGCCTAAACTCAAACAACTAAAAACCCTGCTGAAGCATTAGCTTAAACCTGCTAAAGTTAAAACCTGCTAAAACCATTAACCTGCTAGCCTCACGAACCTGTCAAAAACCTTGTACCCATCAACAAGCCAATAACCATAAAAAACCTCATAACCATAAACACCTCCAAACACATAACCTGCTAAAGCTCAGACCTGAAATCATACCTGCCTGAAGCCTTAAAACAAAAACAACAAAAACAAGTTCACCTCAGCATCATACCTGCCTGAAGCCTTAGAAACAAAAACTGAGAAGTAGAAGCCTCACAAGGCCTCAAGCCAAAACGTCTACCCTGTCCAACCTTGCCAAGAATCAGAAGTGGTGCAAACATAGGATTCAAGCATCAAGCCCTCAGAACTCGAAGAGTTCATCATAGGGACATTCATAAAACACCAAATATACAAGCATATTCAAAGGCAACTCAAGCCCTCAGAATTCCAGGAATTCATCATTGGGTATCCAACTCAAGCGAAAAGCCAGCAAATCATCAATTTCAACATATTCACAAGGCAACGGTATCAACCATCATCAACTCAAAAAGAGGCAACTCAGTGTCAAACGCAAAGGCCCTCAGAGGAAGTGCTCATCATAGGGCATCATTTAAAGGAAATCAAGAGGCAACCAAAGAAGCAACAAAGGCAAGCCAACAAAGAGAAGAGATAAAGAAGTGAATTTTCTTTTTTTTTAAAAAGGGGGTTTTCAGTGCAAAAAAAAATCATC